TATTATATTGAAATGAAACTTATTCTTGTAATTATATTTTTTTATTAGATTTAATGCATATTTTTCACTAATAAAATAACAAACTAAACAACAAATATTATGTTGCATGATTAAATTATACAAAAAAAAGTCGCTGGCGCAATTTCACAACTCCGCACAGACGTGTGCAGACTCTCTGCACATTGTGCGAACACTTTGCACAGAATGTGCGGAGTGTCCGCACACTCCACACATTGTGTAGAGAATGTGCGGATACTCCGCACATTTCCTGTGGAGAGTCCGCACTTTGTACGGACAGTCAGCACAAAGTGTCTGTAATGTGCGGACTGTCCACACATTGTGCGAAGTTCCCGCACAATGTGTGGAGTCTTGCACATTGGACTCCCCGCACATTGGAGGCGTGAACGCACAACATGTTTACCAGAAGTGAGATGAAAAACTAAAACAAATACAAGTATAAAAAACATATAGCATTGGAAAGTATTGCTAAATATAAACCTCTTAAACTGAAGGTCCTTAAACGTCAATCAATAGAATGAGGTTGCACTTCATGCATCAGATTTTTCGGTTGAGAATTCTTCATACACATCTGCTTTCTCTTTCTTTCGCAAGCTCGTCTATTCTTAAACCAATCATCAACATTTTTTCTGAAATAATAGGATTATGTGGTGATAAGGTGGACACTATATATAGAATTTTTGCATTGTCTGAACTTTTATTTCCTCCATCAAATATGCACCGAAGGAAATTAACCTCCGTAGATATAAGTACCCAACATTATCTTCTTATAACCGTTTTGCCGATAGTAAGCGGAACAGCTAAAAAAAAGAAAAGAGAATGACTCGTTGAAAGCTCGAAAATGAAGTTTGATAGTAGTATAAAAGAAGAGATCGAGAATGTGGGTCGAAGAAAAACACAGAAGAAAATCTTAAATGCCATGGTACCAAAACAAAAATAAAATGGAAATGAAAATATAAATCAATTTTGTAGCTGAAAATAAGGAGTACGGTTAGTATGATTATCAACATGGTCGTAAGTATGGACGAGGCAATAAATAAAAAAAGAAGGGAAAAAAATAAACATGAACAGTGAAATGTGATTACTTTACTATTCCCTCTACAGTGTCATCCCATTCCCCCTTTTTAATAGAAGTTAGACTCTTGACAGTTTTCAATAATTCCTCTTTACAAGGGGAATTGCTAAGTCTTTATGTGTACGCTAATATCTCTTGCCGTATTCATCTTTTTATACACGTGAAATTTTCTTAAATTGATGACAACGAGACTTGATTGAATTTTTATTTTATTTTATTTTATGATTTTACATTGAAATAATTAAACTCATTTAAAAATTCGAGTTGTTAGATAAATTAAATAATTATTTATTAGCTGAAGAACAGATCAATCGATGAAAATTTGACAATCTAACAAAGTCAACTTACTATATGGTTAGACTTTCATAAGTGTGAACATATATAGAGTTGAGTATTTCAAAGGTCAACCTACTCCCTTGGTGTGAACATAAAAGACTTCATGAAATTCGAAGAGTCGGTGATTTTTTCAAAAAGTTGGTCGGACAACTTTAAACTTAAAGTCAACCAACAAATTAATTCCTTGATTGAGCCTCGTTAGTTTGAAGAAATGTAGTATAAAATAGTAATTGATAGAGAATATATAATTAAAAAAGAAGTAAAAGTTTTTTATTTACTTGTAATATTATTTTAATAAAGAATGTATGATTAAAAATGAGTACTGTAGATAAAATAATGGAAAAAAAGTAAAGTAACATATGACAAACACGGACTAAGTATTCACGAGAAGCTTTGGCCCTTGTTTGATAGTTTCTTTTTCAATTTTTATTTTTTTTCCTTGTAAACTTCAACCACATATTTTTTTAATAAAATATTTTACACGTGAGCCCCCGTTTGGGCCCCATTTTGTAGAGTTAAAAATGAGTGGAATAGTATTTTATTGAAAGATGAGTGGTTGAAAATGAAAGAAAAGCTTTTTATTTACGTATAATATTATTTTATAAAAGATTGTGTGGTTGAAAATAGAAAAAAGAGAAATGTAATGTAATGTAATAAAAATTAATGAGGCCAAATGGGACTGAATCAATAAATTTTTAACAATAAATTCTCAAAAAAATCCACTTCTCAAAGAAATCAATGTCTCATAATGACTTGACTTTGTCAAGACCCGTCTTGATTTGCGGGTAAGGGCCTAAGGGCCATCTAGAAGCACTTATTTTGGTGAAGAAGCAAGAACAAGGGACAACTTTGAAGATGGCTGGTAGATTCTTCCTATTTTTCACAATAGCCTTTCTTATCAAAAGTACTATATTGCCCTTAATGAAACTATTTGCAAGATTTATCTTATATCTTTAAGGAATTGTCAATCAGGTCCTATATCTATATTTTTCAATCTTTTGAATATCTTTAAATATTCTTTATATTTTAATAATTCTTCAAAGATTATAGGTTGACCTTTCTTAGTTATATATCCTTTAAATAATCCTTCTGAGATTTCTTCTTGTATATCCGTATGTTTAGTTATAATATCTTCTACTTTTCTTATTTCTCTATAAGTTCTCACAGAATCAAATCCTATATTATTCTTACAACTATAATCTATATCTCTATATATTTCTTCAATTTTTTTTCTTTACCAATAGGGAATATAACATCAGATTTTACATCTAATTTAAGCAGAAAAGAAACATTTTCTTCATCTAAAAATAAAATGAGATTTTTATCATTATTAACAGTAGAAGTGGATGCTTGTGAATTGCTCATCAAAGATAATTAAAACATAAGCATGTAAAGATAAGTAAATAACTTACAGTAATCAAGTGGAATAAACAGGTTTTCCCTCCAGTATGCTCTTATAGATGCTTTGCATGTACTTTAATCAATCTTCTGAATCAAGTAAAGATTTAAAATGTTTTGAAATCATTTGGGTCCACAACTGCTTCCGCAAAAGGCTTTTCAATTAAGGTTGCATTTCTCATTCTAGAGAACTAGCCGTGTTTCCACAGACGCTATCTCACAGTATCCAGAGTCTCTGTTTTCACCTCTATCCAAACTCTTTTCAAAATCAAGTTCCTACTTGGAACGAAATTTTAAAAGATAACTCACACACAAGGTGCTACAATTTTTTGTTAGAAAACTGCCATTTTCCCCTAAACCATTCATCAAAGACGGGTACTTTGGCATGGCTAACCTCCATTCAAAATCAATATTTTGAAAATCTTTTAAAATCTCTATCTGTACTGCCGAGGAATCATGAGAAGCTTAATGAAATCTTTTATGGAAACTTTGTTGAACATAACAAACTTTACTTTGATATTCATAAACTGAAATTGTACATGCTTACAAACTATATTTACATACCTTTGGTACTCACCTTATGAAGTTTAGAACTCCATAAGTGATTACCTTATTACACGCTTTCCTATCTTCAAGCTATCTAATATTTTTCTGAATACAAGTAGTGTAATCAGATTACAAAAGTTTTCTCTCAAATGTATTTAAGAGAAGTTATTACAAGGTATTTCGAGATCCCTTCCTTCTTCCTTCATGCCTCCTTTTATAGGAGAGTTTGGAATCTTATCTTGGACAGGTGTCTTCCACTTTCTTTGTTAGGTAGCAAGGCATCTTATCTCCACCGAATTCTTCATTGTCTTCTTGCTATGTGGACATTTCCTTTGAAAATTATATGCCTTATCTTTTGAATTTGTCTGCCACTTGTGTCAATTAGTGGGTAAGTGATCACAATAATGGAGACTTTCTAATATTATTTTTTGTCTCTAGTAGCCACAGTTTTTCTTTAATAAATTTCTTTATTAAAGTAGTGATAAAGGGCTACTTCAATCACCATCATTTTTCCATTTTTGAATCAAAGAATTCTGCAGGGAATTCTTCATCGTTAAGAGATGCTTGGCTCATATCTTCAACAACACAATATTCACAGTGGTGATCACTGTAATTCCAAAGTATCTTGCATAATTCCTTAGCCATATCTTCCGATCCATGCACTTGGTTGGATATAATTGCAGATAATAAATGGTCAAGATAACAAATATCTTCTTCTTTGGTCTCCATTCTTGCATTGGAATAGATAATATGATCTTCAGATGGATAAACCCATATTTTTTCTTTCTCAGTGATAATCTGAGTTACATGTTCAAATATCTCTTTATACCCTTTGGCTCTTCTGTAGGGCATCATATTAAGAATATCTTGATATC